TAGAGAATTACTGTGAATGGGCTCCGTTTCGTAGATCGCTAAGTATGAGGGAATTTCTCAACTGAAATATCGGCTGTCTGCAGGTGGATGTAAAACCAAAACTGAGCAAGCTCCATTTCGAATATCTAGCACTTTTCTGCGTCGTACCCATCGAAGATCGGATTATACATATAAGAAATTGATTACACATAACTACCTCCTCCGAACACCCTTGAAACTTTACTTTTCTGGACAATCCCAGTTCAGACACGATTTGTGCCTTTCGAATATGTTTGGTTCTTCAACGGCAATGCTTAATCGCAACAAATTGGTTGATGTGTTCGCAGCTGGCTTATGTTAAGCACTCTGCGATTTACATCAACGTCTGTGCGTGGGTGGGAAAAGCTGTGACTACTAGAAGTCTAAGCTCAATCTTGCTCGACTGCGTCAACGGGTCAACATGCGGCGTCAAATCTTTGCAAATTCACCTCGAGTGTGACTACGTTATTTGTGTATCTAACAAAAATAAACGAAAACAGCTCACACTTCTAGACACTTCCTACTAACAAACGGACAACATGAAAGCAAAAATGATGGACGGAAAAAACTAGGACGTATGATGTACGTTACGCAACACCAACGATATCGGCACTATTTCCAAATGAAGCACTCTACCAAGCATTGGACGCCCACTTGGGCTGTTCGAAAACCATCGAGCTTACCCTCTCTTTTGGCTGTTTTTCGCTCTTCTTCGGCAACTGTCTTAGCCGCTCCGAGCAGCGTCATGATGATACCTGTTTGGGAATTCACACCAACAGCCGTTACAAGCATCTAGAAATAACATTCAAAATCAATGTCTTCAGTAGAGCACAATTTGCAGCACTTACTTTGGCAGAGCCTTCCATCACATGTGTTCCTGACAAGATTATCGGATCATGTTCGGGTGCTTTCCGAATAAGATCAGACTCTCCAGTCAATGATGATTCATCTATTTTAAGATCGTTTGATTGAATAAGTACACCGTCGGCAGGTAACAGGTCACCTAAAAATGAAATCTTATTTGGGTGTCTGCTATAAACCCACACCACTTTAAAAAACAACAAAAGTGAGTAAAAGCGCCGGCTAAGATTAGAGACAGTTGGACTGTGTGACTTCCTCAATGGAGGCTAAAGCCCCAGCTTCTCCAACCATTCGCTTACTCAGCAAGAACTTAAAGTAGAGCTTCTTTGATTTGAAGCGGTCCAAATCACCAACGCAAAGACGGAACCAATTTTGAAGAGATTTTGATTAAAAACTGTGTTTGGCGTCCTTTCAACGACTCCCTACATGCCGCTCCTCAAAGCGGCAGATATTCAAAAGATATTCTGATCTTTTCAAAAGCAGATCATTCTACTGAAAAACTGCCCACAGAAACTCTCCAGCGAACCCATGCTGATGGAAAGCCTCTGCAAAGTACAGCTGCCTGCAAAGTGTGCTCTACTGAAAGACATTGATTTTGAATGTTATTTCTAGATGCTTGTAACGGCTGTTGGTGTGAATTCCCAAACAGGTATCATCATGACGCTGCTCGGAGCGGCTAAGACAGTTGCCGAAGAAGAGCGAAAAACAGCCAAAAGAGAGGGTAAGCTCAATGGTTTTCGAACAGCCCAAGAGGGCGTCCAATGCTTGGTAGAGTGCTTCATTTGGAAATAGTGCCGATATCGTTGGTGTTGCGTAACGTACATCATACGTCCTAGTCTTTTCCGTCCATCATATTTGCTTTCATGTCTTTCGTTGTTAGTAGGAACAGTACTCACCGAGTGTCGAGAAGTCGTGAGCTCGGTGTCGTTTATTTTTGTTAGATACACAAATAACGTAGTCACACTCGAGGTGAATTTGCAAAGATTTGACGCCGCATGTTGACCCATTGACGCAGTCGAGCAAGATTGAGCTTAGACTTCTAGTAGCCACAGCTTTTCCTCACCCACGCACAGACGTTGATGTAAATCGCAGAG